GTGCTGGGGCTGCCACTGCGGGGAGGAAAGGGTTAAAAACTGACCCAAAATTGCAGAAATTCAACCCAAAAATTCATCCCAAAATTAGGAAAAAAACCCCAAAAAATTCGGCCAAAAAATCCCCAAAAAATCCCAAAAAAACCCCAAAAATTCGAAAAAAAATCCCAAAAAATTCCCCAAAAATTCCCCAAAATCCCCCCAAAAATTGACCCAAAATCCCCAAAATTTGGCCCAAAAACTCCCCCAAAAATCCCCAAAATTGTCCCAAAAAATCCCAAAAAAATCCTCAAAAATTCAAAAAAAATCCCCAAAAATTCCCCCAAAAATTTGTCCCAAAATCCCCAAAATTTGGCCCAAAAATTCCCCCAAAAAAAACCCCAAAAATCCCCATTTTTTCCCCATTTTTTGACCCAAAAATCCCCATTTTTTGACCCAAAATTGAACTCCAGGCCCGGAATTGGGAGCAGGACATGGAGCCGTGCTGGGGCTGCCACTGGGAGGGCAAAGAAAGGGTTAAAATTGACCCAAAATTGCAGAAATTCAACCCAAAAATTCATCCCAAAATTAGGAAAAAAACCCCAAAAAATTCGGCCAAAAAAATCCCCAAAAAATCCCAAAAAAACCCCAAAAAAATCAAGAAAAATTCCCCAAAAAATCCCAAAAAATTCCCCAAAAATTCCCCAAAAATTGACCCAAAATCCCCGAAATTGCCCAAAAATTAATGCAGGAATTCTAAAAAAAAAACCTCAAAAATTCAAAAAAAATCCCAAAAAATTCGCCCCAAAAATCCCAAAAAAAATCCCAAAAAATCCCAAAAAAAACCCCAAAAAATTCGAAAAAAAATCCCAAAAAATTCCCCCAAAAATTGTCCCAAAATCCCCAAAATTTGGCCCAAAAATTCCCCCCAAAAAAACCCCCAAAATCCCCATTTTTTCCCCATTTTTTGACCCAAAAATCCCCATTTTTTGACCCAAAATTGAACTCCAGGCCCGGAATTGGGAGCAGGACATGGAGCCGTGCTGGGGCTGCCACTGCGGGGAGGAAAGGGTTAAAAACTGACCCAAAATTGCAGAAATTCAACCCAAAAATTAATGCAGGAATTATAAAAAAAAACCCCAAAAAATTCGGCCAAAAAAATCCCCAAAAAATCCCAAAAAAAACCCAAAAAAATCAAGAAAAATTCCCCCAAAAATTCAAAAAAATTCCACAAAATCCTCCCAAAAAATTGTCCCAAAATCCCCAAAATTTGGCCCAAAAACTCCCCCAAAAATCCCAAAAATTCCAAAAAAAAATCCTCAAAAATTCAAAAAAAATCCCAAAAAATTCGGCCCCAAAATCCCAAAAAAAATCCCAAAAAATCCCCAAAAAAAACCCCAAAAAATTCGAAAAAAAATCCCAAAAAATTCCCCCAAAAATTTGTCCCAAAATCCCCAAAATTTGGCCCAAAAATTCCCCCCAAAAAAACCCCCAAAATCCCCATTTTTTCCCCATTTTTTGACCCATTTTTTCCCCATTTTTTGCCCCAAAAATCCCCATTTTTTGACCCAAAATTGAACTCCAGGCCCGGAATTGGGAGCAGGACATGGAGCCGTGCTGGGGCTGCCACTGGGAGGGCAAAGAAAGGGTTAAAATTGACCCAAAATTGCAGAAATTCCACCCAAAAATTAATGCAGGAATTATAAAAAAAAACCCCAAAAAATTCGGCCAAAAAATCCCCAAAAAATCCCAAAAAATCCCAAAAAAATCAAGAAAAATTCCCCCAAAAATTCAAAAAATTCCCAAAAAAATTCCCCAAAAATTGTCCCAAAATCCCCAAAATTTGGCCCAAAAATTCCCCCAAAAAAACCCCAAAAATCCCCATTTTTTCCCCATTTTTCCCCATTTTTTCCCCATTTCTTGACCCAAAAATCCCCATTTTTTGACCCAAAATTGAACTCCAGGCCCGGAATTGGGAGCAGGACATGGAGCCGTGCTGGGGCTGCCACTGGGAGGGCAAAGAAAGGGTTAAAAACTGACCCAAAATTGCAGAAATTCGACCCAAAAATTCATCCCAAAATTAGGAAAAAATCCCCAAAAAATTCGGCAAAAAAATCCCCAAAAAATCCCAAAAAATCCAAAAAAAAACCCAAAAAAATCAAGAAAAATTCCCCAAAAAATTCCCCAAAATCCCCCCCAAAATTGTCCCAAAATCCCCAAAATTTGGCCCAAAAACTCCCCCAAAAATCCCAAAAATTGTCCCAAAAAATCCTCAAAAATTCAAAAAAATCCCAAAAAATTCGGCCCCAAAATCCCCAAAAAAATCCCAAAAAATCCCCAAAAATTCCCCCCAAAAATTTGAAAAAAAATCCCAAAAAATTCCCCAAAAAATTTGTCCCAAAATCCCCAAAATTCGGCCCCAAAATCCCCAAAAATCCCCCCAAAAAAACCCCAAAAATTCGAAAAAAAATCCCAAAAAATTCCCCAAAAATTGTCCCAAAATCCCCCAAATTTGGCCCAAAAATTCCCCCAAAAAAACCCCAAAAATCCCCATTTTTTCCCCATTTTTTGACCCAAAAATCCCCATTTTTTTGACCCAAAAATCCCCATTTTTTGACCCCAAAATTGAACTCCAGGCCCGGAATTGGGAGCAGGACATGGAGCCGTGCTGGGGCTGCCACTGGGAGGGCAAAGAAAGGGTTAAAATTG